TTGATTCTACTATTCTGTGGATTATTGATTCAGGAGCCACAGACCATATGACTGTGTGGTTGTTCACAAGCCTTCTAGACATAATTCTCCGCGCTTCGGGATAGATACCGTAAAAATTGCCGATGACTTTTGAAGTTTCATTGTGGGTAAAGAGCTTGTTGTTCTTACAGTCAGGTAAACTTTGGGATCTGTGTTACACGTTCCTTTGCTGAAGTATAACCTCTTGTCGGTCATTAAGTTGACATATTACCTTGATTGCGTTGCTCAATTTTCTCATGATGTTTGTCTTTCTGGACTGTTGTTTGGGGAGGAAGATTGAAACTGTTAAGTAGATTGTTGGCCTCTACTTCTTGCAGGAATAAACATTGATGACACAGAGACTCGATTCCATAGTTGTAGTTTTTACCGGTCCACTGAATGTTCTGTTATGCTTTTACATTGTCGGTTGGGTCATCCTAGTTTTCACTATTTGAAATAATTATATCATTTGATTTTTTTTAAAAAAATCTATTTAGTTTTAAATGTGAGATTTGTCATTTAGCTAAGCAATTAATGTGTACCATATTCACCCCACTCTCACACTCATTCCGCTCCTTTTCCACTGATTCATAGTGATTTATAGAGACTTTCTCAAACTCTGAGTTATACCAATAAACAGTGGTTTCTTACCTTGATTGACGACCTCGCTTGGATAACTTGGGTTTATATATTAAAAGACAATTCTAAAGTGGTGGTTACCTTAAAAATTTTTTACTCAATTTTGATCCAATTCGAGACTACTATTCAAGTCCGTTAAATCGACAATAACCATGAATATTTTAACTCTATATTAGGAGAATTCTTGGTAAGTAAGGACATCCTTTATCATAACTTCTGTACGGATACCCCTTGACAAAATGGGATAGTCTAGTGGAAAAAATGACACTTTGAAGTTTCTCACTCTATTATGTTTCAATCTAATGTCCGAAATATTTTTTGGAATGTCGCACTTACTGCTACATTTCTCATTAGTAGAGTAAAAAAAAACCCACAACTTTCAGACTTTGTTATCCGTCATGATGTTGTGTTTTCCTACCAATCGGTTATTCTCCACGTTTGACCCCAAAATAATTGGATTCTCGGTCTTTTTTCAGAACACTACTCAAACTTGTAGTAAACTTGATCCCCGTTCAATCAAATGTATCTTCCTCAGATATGTGTCACTCAAAAGGCTATCAGTGCCTTGATCAAATTCTATGTAAGTGCTGATGTCTATTTTTTTTAAAGTGTTTTCTACTTCCCTAAAACTATTTTGAGTAGTGGGAGCTGGAATTTCTCGATACTGTTCCTTTTCCGACTCCCTTAGATATTTTACCTACTCTTGTCACTGAATCCAATGAACCCTCTGTCCCACCAGATCCGCTAACAACGATACCAACATCTCCTTCATCCACTCTTCGTGTCTACACGCGACGTACCAAACTCTCACGCGAGATTTGTCATAATGCCCCTACTCTTTAGCCTGTTGACTTGCTGTAGTTTTTGGAATACGCTCCGACTGACATTCCCCGAACTACACTCTCTCAACCTACATGGATCACTCATGCTCTGAATGAGGAGTTGAATTCTCACATCGAGGTACGCAATCAGGAATGCTCCTTTTTTTGCTTGGCAAAGTACTTCTCTTTCCACAATTTATCACCGAGTTACAAAGCATTTGTCACTTTTTTTACGAATTGTTGTCTTCCATCCACTATTTAGGTAGCATTGGCTGACCCATCTTAGAAAGCGACATTTATGGACTAGATGAATGCTCTTTTGCGAGATCATACTTAGGATGTTGATCTTCCTCAAGGAAAGAAAGTTGTGGGTTGTTGGTGGATTTTTCATCACCAAATTTATCTCCGATGGATCATTTGAACACAACAAAGCAAGATTGGTCGCCAAAGGCTACGCACAAACATATGGAGTTGGCTATGAGGAGATGTTTGCTATGGTAGCTAAAATGAACATTATTCAGGTTTTATTATCATTTGTCGTGAATCTGGATTGACCCTTACTCGAATTGAATGTCAAAAATGCTTTCCTTAATGATGATCTCGCAGAGGTGTATATGTCTTTCCCACCGGGCTTTGACTCAACCTGTTTCTGTGGACAAATGTGTAGACCGCGAAAATCTATATATGGATTGAAACAACCCCCTGGGCCTAGTTCGACAAGTTTACACGAGTTGTTGTGGGCCATAGTTTCTCTCAAACCCAATCTAATCACACGATGTTCTTACAAATCTCATCTGATGACCGTATTGTCATCCTCATCGTCTATGTCGATGACATCATTCTCACAAGTGACGATCAACCTGCTTTGGAATCTCCCAAAGTTATTCTGGCCGCATCCTTTGAGATAAAGGACGTGCTCTCTCAAGTATTTTCTTGGTATGGAAGTAGCTCGGTCCTCTCGGGGCATTAGCCTTTCCCAACTCAAATATGTGACTGATTTTTCTGACTGAGACCAAGCTACTTCTTTGCAAACCAGTAGTTGTTCCAATAGATCCTAGTTAGAAGTTGGCAGATGTTCCCAATGCAGTTCGGGTGAACAAGACATACTACCAACTTCTAGTGGGGAAACTCATTTAACTAGCCCATACACGCCCGAACATTTGTCACACCATTGGTGTTGTCAGTCAGTTCATGCATGATCCCTACGAGCAGCACCTCACTGCTGTAGCTCAAATTCCACTTCTTGAAAAGCACACCGGGCTCATGTTTTTTGTTTTCGTCACATCTCTTGCTCTGTTGTTGTTTATGCGAACGTCGATTGGGCTGGGTTCGTCCATGATCAGCGTTCTACCTCAGGTTATTGTTCATTTGTGTGGGGAAACCTTATCAGATGGAAAAAAAAAGCAGTCCATTGTTTTTCTGAATAGTGTTGAAGCAGAGTTTCGGTCTATGTCCCTTGGAGTATGTGAAGTCTTTTGGTTGCGCATCATGCTCTGCGAGTTATGTATGCCGGTCTACTCTTCCTATGCATTTGTTCTGTAATAGTAAAGCCGCCATCAACATTGTCAATAATTGGCCCAACATGATCGTACCAAACATGTGGAGATTGGTCGTCATTTTATTAAGGCGATGCTTAGTTATGTGGAAATTTATGTTCCATTCGTTCCTTCCACTGGCCAACCAACAGATATTTTCACAAAGAATCTTCCTCAACTGCTATTTGACCAAGTTCAAATTCATGTGAAAGATGATTGATATCTATGCTTCAACTTGAGGAAAAGTGTTAGAAGTTATTAACATTGATTTATTTCCTATTCGTATATTACCTGTTTTATATATTTCATTCCTATTTTATGTATTTTCTATTTGTATGTCTTTTCTATTTTATATCTTTCCTATGTTAGGAATCATGTAATCTGTACTTATACGTCCACTTTCATATTAATGAGATTATCCGGCTCAATTCCAAAGTCTACACAAAATAAAATTTTACAGTTTTTATGGCTTATATATCAGACAGATATAACTCATTAAATCACTATTGTTTTTTTTATCATTAAGATTAATGAATGCTTACTTTATATATATTAGATAAACGAACACTAAAATTTATATGAGAAGGCAATTAAAATACTAGATGATTCGACAAGATATGTAAATTGCAATTTCTTGAATATGTTGCTTGATCTAGATCACCAATTTTGACTTCATTTACAATTGCCATCTAGCATCTGAACTAACACCAAATCAATAAAGGCGCCACTAGATGAAGATTGAAGAGATTAGAAGATGGATAAATTTGAAAGGAATGAAATCATGAATTTGCTGCAAATAATTCTAAACTCCTTGCAAGTTTCATTGTCCAAAAAATATTCATTTTTCTTCTTCAAGTGAAATTTTTATTTCATGAAAATGACTTGTTCTATTTCTGAATGGTATGAGAATGAATATAATATATATCATGAAAATTTCATTTGATAAAAATCAATTTTTTTTTGGATTTGGATGATACAAGAAAGAAGATAATATGGTCCATTTCAAGTTTTTATTAGGACTCAGATTTGCTTTCAAGTTAAGTGTTTTGTGGATCTTTCTATTAAAATCCTAAATTGCTTAGAAAGTAGGAAAATTGTTGTTCTTGTTTTTGCACCTACAATGCTTTTTTTTTTTAAGAACAAAGTGTCAAAAAAAGTCCCCGATTATTTACATGGGGCTATTTTAGTTCCAGATTTTATAGAAGGGCCAAAATTCTCACTGACTATTTTAAAATTGAGCTCTAATAGTTCTATTTCAGCCCTAGTTTAAAGAGTCTGGGGACTATTTTGATCCTTTTATAAAGTCTGGTACTAAAACGGTCACATGTAAATAGTCGGGGATTGTTTTGGCACTTTACTCTTTTTTTTTTTTTAAATATAAATTACTTTGGACCAATCTATAGATTGGCTTGCAACAAATGTTCACTTTCATGCAATAAATTGTTGTTTTGGCCAGCCCCAACTTGGGCATATTTTGTCGGCATTAGTGTCTACTAGAACCACTCAAATGCTTTAAAATTATAATCATCAATGGCCTTATTCCAATTTCTTAGGTTTGATTTTCTGCTACCTCATTTTTCCAATTTTTTCATTTGAATGCTACATAAAATATTATTAAATTACACTCTCTCTCTCTCTCTCTCTCTCTCTCTCCCTGATAGTGGGGGCCGTGCGGCCCAGTCAATCATTTCAAAGAGGTATAATATGATGATATATATATATATATAGAGAGAGAGAGAGGGAGAGGCTAGAGGTTTCATCCTTTGAAGTAATCTAATAGATGACTAATGAAACATGGCTTGGCTTTCTGCCTGATCTCGGCTGTAGCATAAGCTGCATACCACATCAGTTATATTAGAATACCACTGTCGTTTAGTTTTATTACTGTTTCATGTAGACTTGAGAAGGAAATTTTTTCGGGCGTATCTTTTGACATCTGTCCTACCGAGCAATTAATTACTCACCAATTGTGTTACTCATGCTTCAGGGATTGCAACGATTCTGCACAGAGCACAAAATCAAGTTATCGAAGGTACTGTGAATGCAATATGAAGAAGCTTTACTGTTTTTTATTGCTGTTCAAGTTGTATGATTATGTTATGAGTTTCTGCTGATTTATTTGCTATGCACAGTTTTTTCTTACTTACAATGCTCCATATATTTCATTATTAAAACTTAGCCAACATATTTTTAGTACTTATGTTTCTTTTTCCTTTAGGTTGATCATATATTCTTAACTAGAGTGTCATCAGAAACTGCCGGAGGTCTTCCAGGTTAGTGCTTATGGTTTCCCCATGTCATCCCGAAGCAAGGGCACCTTTGGACAAAAGAAGAAAAATAAATGATAAATTTTTCTTTTGTGAACCACCATTTTAAACTGTGGTCTGGACTAATGTTTGTTTATTTTTCTGTATAGAAGTTTCTCAAGGATGATAATAGACATTTTATTTTAATGTTTGCATGTAAATAATTGATTTTTTTTTCTCTTGGTATGACAGGTCTTCTGCTTACTCTAGCCGGGATAGGAGAGGAGGGAATGTCAGTAAGTCTATTAGCTTTCCATTTACAGTGCCATGTGATATTTTTACCTGTTATAATTGCAGCTTTTATCCGCTTTCATTGCAAAGCAGATTAATGTCTGGGGTCCTTCTGACCTTAAATATCTGGTTGATGCCATGCTTTCATTTATTCCAAATGCCGCCATGGTGCACGCTCACAGCTTTGGGGAAAAGCAAAGCGCTAATGGAGTTGCAGTTTTGGATCATAATTTGGGTTGTTCTGTTGATCCAATTGTTCTTATAGATGATGAGGTTATCCGTTTGTCAGCAATTCTCTTGAGGCCAAATTGCTCTGGAGGTCTAAAGTTGCTTTTACACATTTTATGACATTCTAACTTGACCTTTAGGTTCATAAAAAAGTAGATAATGAAAAAAGAAAAAAATGCTGATTTTTTTATTCCCATGCTTGTGTGGATGATTTGATAAAATAGGCTCATCTATGAAGCCTGGTGATGTTGCTGTGGTCTACGCTTGTGAGCTACCTGACATTAAGGGAAAGTTTGATCCAGAAAAAGCTGTATCCCTTGGGTTGAAACCTGGACCAAAATATCGAGAGTTACAGCTTGGCAACTCAGTCATGTCAGACAGTCTTAACATTATGGTAAGTTCAGATAACTGTGATCTTATGCAAACCCTTACCCATCTTTTATAAGTTGGCCGGATCCATCTTTCCATACTTTTGTACAGATCATCGTACTCACTTCTCTATTGATTTTTCATATTTCAAAATAACAAATTTCACTGATATATTTATTCAAAAAAAAAAAAAAAGGTCTATCATGTGGACGTTCAGTTCAAGATGTATCAAGATTCTTGAGTAAAATTTCATAATATTTATATTTGATTTTTTTTACATCATTTTGAAACTGGTTTCACTCAATTTGATATGGAACAGGTTCATTCTAGCGATGTTTTAGGTCCTTCAATTCCTGGTCCAATTGTGCTTCTTGTAGACTGTCCTACGCCATCACATATGCAAGATTTGTTCTCTGCACAATCTCTCAATTCTTATTATGTAGATTCACCAGATTGTCAAAGAGAGGGCGTTAAATTAGTGAATTGTGTAATTCATCTTGGACCAGCTTCTGTAACGAAGAATACTGATTATCAAATATGGATGAAGAGGTTTGGAAAAGCGCAACACATCATGGCAGGATATGAAATGTATGTTTTCGTAGATCTGCTGTAACTTAATTTTACTCAATTTTCTTATTTTGTAGGATATCACCCATACCAACCAAATGAATGCATTCACATATCCATTGGCAAAGCAACATTTTGAACTATAAAATTGTTTTCATATGCCATTTATATATTTTTCAGACCCATTAGTCTCGTCTATATATCTTTGAATTGCATGGTTCAAGAGAGCATACTGTCATACACCATTTTAGATAGTCAACTAGTCTTGATTATTCATAAAACAGGATTTGGATATGGCATAGACATCGGTTTTTCGTAAACAAGTTTTGGATATGGCGTAATTTTTGGACACAAACAGAACAACTGTTCAGGCTACTATAGCTCAAAATAGGACAATACTACCCAATTGCTTACCGAATCTTTCTTTTTTTGTTATTCTCTTTCCCCATGGTCATTTTCTTTATTATCAGCATTTGACATTTTCTTATTGTTCTTTCAAGCTTGTCTGCAATTTTTTAAATATTTTCAAATTGTCATTAGCCTATCTTTCTTTATTCTTAAACGTAAATGAATGATACTAATCAAGATAATTCCATCTCTTAGATATCTTTTGAGCTACATTGCTGGATTTTCTGCATCATTTTGTCTATAGCATGCTGTACTCATGTCCCGTGTCTATTGTTGTTTCATAAGATGTTTTAAAAGTAGTTCATCACCCTAATTGAAGGTATTATCTCTACATCAGCTAAATGTGGAATAAATAGAGAAATCCAACTCATATCTTGGTCAACTTTTTTCCTTGAATTGAGTTTAGCAGGCTTCTCGAGTTTCAAATGTTATTTATTTATTTATTTTTTTGTGGTTTGTGGCTGGTACCTTGATAACTTAGAACTAGTTAGACATGTTTATTTAGTCTTTTACGTAAAACCATGAATAAACATACTAATCTCTCAAGATAAGACCATCTGACATAATGTTAAAAATCATACCGGTGATTTGCTTTTTTCACGGTAGAAATGTGCAAGATAGAATATTGATCTTATAGCCGTGATACCAAATTTATGGAATTTTGGCATCCAAGAGAAACCATTGCAAAGAATGAAACGGGTGGGAGCCCTACATACCGTAATTTTCTTAACCACTAAGGTCTCTTCATACTTCAATCTCTCTCTCTCTCTCTCTCTCTCTCTCTGTGGACAAGCATAGGAGGGTGAATTAGTGGCCATCTTTCTTTCTTTCTTTGATCGAGTGTGCTTTCCTTTCACACTCTCTTGACTCACTCTGACTTTAGACAGGGACGGCTAAAGTTTTGTGTATTCACCCGTCTTTGTTATCTCAATGAGAATATGGTTGGGAGGAATGACTAATTATGGACACTCGGCAGACATGATTTGCTTTATCTACATGTGTTATGCTCTCCTTGCCTAACTCTTATTTTAGAAGAATTGAGACTTCATTTAATAGACCTTTCCTATGCTTTATGATATGTTTATTGTGCATGATTAGTTTTGTCGTTTTCCATACAAGTTCAAGGAATAGGCTGGAATCTCAATACACCTTGTAGATCGTTGTCGGAGTTTTGTGGTGATAATAACTTATAAAAAGTGTGTATTTTGACATAGTCGAAGGATTCATTAGCAATTGGAAGGAAATTTGAGGGTCTTAATATTAAAGATAATAAGGAATGATGGAATATGTATGTACAATTAAGGATAAGATGCGAGATAAAGAATTCATTACGCTGATGATTTTAATGAAATTTAATTAATTGATGAGAGTAATTAATACTTTAAAATTAAAAATTTAAATGTTGATAACTTGTTATATATATTTTTTAAGTGGGGGTAGTATGAATGAGAGAAAAAAAATAATGTTGAATTTTTTTTTTCTATTTTAATAGTTTAGTTTCGATAGTTTAATGTTTGTATAACCCATCTTATTTTATAATTTGATGTTAGGATATTAACATGTTTCATATTATTTTATAGAATTTATTAATTTTTACTTAGTTAGAATGTTCTTATATTATTTTTTAAATATTTTAATAAATTAGAATATTAATATATTATTTTTACTTCACACTTTTTAGCTTATACAATAGTTACTAATTTAAGCAAGTTTTAAGATTTGAAGTTTATGCAGTAGAGTGCTTTGAGGCTTATATCTTGCCTCACGAACGAATAATGGCTCAATAGCCAATTGTGCAATTTTGAATATTACTGCCTCCTTTAGAAATAGTGCAATTGTCATTATAAAATAAATTAAATCATCCATGTCTCTATTAATTTTGTATTTAAACTCTTCTAACGGCATTCACATTAATTTGTTAGGTAGAGGCTTTGTAACTAGTATATGATTACTAAGTATGACGTGTGTTTCACGCACGGGTGCAGGAAGTAGCCAACCGACTGACATAGATGCCGGTACAAACCCCAATTGAATCGGGCGGTTTTTTTGCTTCATGCGGGGCGGGGGGTAGGTTGGGGGAGGGGCTGCTTTCCTTTTGTGTTCTTTCCCTTTTGGAGTCTATAATTACTGTTTCTGAGAATTAGGGTTCAGTTTTTGCTTGTTGTTGTGTTAAGCTTTATCCTTTGGAGTCTTTTCTCTCTTTTTAGGGTTGTATCCGACGCGGGTGGTGCTTCGGCTATATCTTGTTCCTAGGTGGTGTTGTATTCTCCCTTATCTTCCTCCCCAACCTGTTCCCTGCATCCCCATAGGCCATCGACCACCTCCTCTTCCTCCATAGCTTCTTGGCCGCCCATCTACTGCAGCTGTCCCTGTTGTCCAGGCCACTTCCTAGCCAGCCGAAACCCCTCCCAGCATTACTACCTGCTGTCCACCACTCCAGACCCTTCCCCACATCAAGCCGCCTCATTACAACCATTAGCCAGGCTGTCCCAACCTTCCAGATTGCCTACCAGCTCCTGTCAACCCTTAGCTTGTAGCCTGCCTTCCTGCCGAGCACCCCTGCCAGCCATCAGACTCCTACCTAACCAACCTCGCAGCTGTCAACCTTTCCCCATACCCTTACCACATTACCGATGCCAGCACCGCCCACGGATCGTCTCTCCCGGCCCTAGGAGGAGATTTGTTGTTATTGTCTTTCCCTTTTCTGTTTGCATTGTGTTTTAACCCTCATTCGGTGCTAATAAAAGTTAGCTTTTCATTTCTGTTAATTTCTGAACTAGTTCCGGTATCAAAGTAGCCAAAGAATTTTATATTGTGCATCATATTTTAGTATTGATTTTTTTATAAAATTACATTTAAACTTTGCTAACTAAATTTTTTCAAATACATCCAAATAAAATCAAGTTCGCTGTGTGTTTGTGTGTAAATAACTTAAAAATATGCAAATTAAAAAGTTTATCAAAACTTTTAATTTTGTCCAATTGATAATTTTTAGATGCTCTTAGATGTTTGTAAACTTTAATATTTTTTATTTGGAAGATTTACATGGCTACCACTCAATTCTTATGTATTTACATATCTAATACCGAAAGATCAATTTTTGCATATATGTCACCTTACCCATGCATGAAAAGGTGTAATTCACATTTAAAAAGTTAAACTAGTGGTATTTTTGTTGTGCTATGAATGATTTGGGTGGTATGAATGTAAAAATCAAACTTTAAGCGTTAGATATGTAAATACGTAATAATTCAGTGTTATGCATGTGAAAGCCTGTTTTTAGTTTTATGTAAAAGCCTTTGGTAGTTTTGTTTTCATGCGATTGGCGTGAGCCTATCAGATAATTTTTCTATTTTTTCTTTCATCCGGGATATGCGAAGATTGGGTAGGATTCTACATACATGTTTTGAGTAGATCTAAGAGTATGCTGAGTTAAAACAAATCTCGTTGATATTTTAGGGAGCGGAGCGTCAACTGTTATCTTTATGGTTTATCTGCTCGTCACGTTTTTTCATGCAATCCAGTTCATTAAATAATTTTTGAATTTCTGTGTCCGGTTTTGACTTTATATGAAGTTTAATATATGGCTATTTGAATCCTGAAAATGATGTCTGTAATTTTTAGTAGTTCCACCCCTCAGGAAATTTTAAAATAGTAATAATATAATCTCTTCTGTACTCATTTGTTTTGTTTAAGATGACAATATATCTAAATCTTATAAATTGCACGTTTGCTAGGAAAAATATGAAAATTCCTATCCTTAAATCAAGTGCAAGAATTTCATCAAGGCTTAACTATCTCTGTCCACAACTGTTCCCAGCTTTGGGAGCTTGGCCGTCTGAGAATGGATTCATTCCTTCTCTTAGAGACTCTATTGTTCCGTGTGAGGTTTGTTCATTGTTCGTTATTGAATTGCCTCATTTTAGGTTCTTTTGTAACCCACTATGAAGAAGTAAAGGCATTTGAAGTTGTTTTCATGCAGGCTCACTCTTCAGGTTTTGTTGATAGTGTCTCAGCTGAAAATCTACTGAAGGTATGTATGAATTGACGTGCATCTACATCCAAGCTCTGTTTGTTATCTTGGAAGTAGTGCCCATTTTTGTCGATCAAAATTTGTTGTCATTATCATCTAGAGAAGCTGAAGTTGTTACATTCAGAGATGAGTGATTTGCCATCTTTTAAAAAAAATGAGAATTCTCTCAATCTAAAAGGTAATGTGGCTATTATAATTATAGCTATGAGTTGTCATTGATGACTTGATCCAATATCACTTGTTATTGGGTCCAAAACTCACGGGTCTTGCAAGTCTCCTTGACTTCCCCTAAAATAATGCTTGTGCAATGTTATCCACCCAATAGTTATTTATGCTCCTTTCTTCCTATTATTTATCTGTATTTTTACATTTTACTTCGTTTTATAGTTTATTTAACTTTGTTTGATTTATTTTTTGTTGCTGACATTATTGTGCTGTTGTATTTGTACTTTGAGTTTATTTAGTTATTAATCTTTATGCTATTCAATTTGTAGAACTACCATTTTATTGTATGCTACATTACTGCATTCAATAGTTAGAAGAGAGAAATTGCTGTATTTTGTTCAAACTTATAAAAAGATCTGACATGAAAGTTATTATTTTTTATTAACCTACATGTATGTTAAAGCGATATTATATTTTATTTATAGGATAGTGATAGTTCCTTTTTTATTTGGGTATTCTTCTTATGTTATTCAACCATTAGTAAATTATTAATGCTTTTTTAATATTTTATGTTACTTATAACATATTTTTGATATATTCTGCACAATGTATTATGATTCTATAGGATCTCTGCATTATTATACACTATCCACTATTGATAAATATATTTTGAAGTGTTAAGAGGATGAAATTATTATGCACTTTTTAATTGAGATTTCCCCAGTTTTTTATAGGTGGAAAAAATACAATTTTCTAGGCTACACCCAAGATAACATACACCACTCTCTGAATATATAGGATTTATTTATTTAATGTAATCATATTTTAACACTATCTTTCAAGCTATATCATATATACCAGTTAGTTCGAGTTGATTTCATACATGAATGAAATATAGAGGTCCCAGAGCACACCCGTTTGTTGTGCTCTCACTTACTGCTAATCTAGATCACACAGGGATTGATCCCTCTAACTCCATCTGCTCTCATGTCCAAGCTTTTTTGTTCTTCTGCTATTTCATTTTTGCTCTCTCCGTTCGTCTTCATCGCTCTTATTTAATCACGGAATCACTAGAGCTTGCCCAATCGAACTGACACTAGCCTTTTACAATTATTATTGTTATTATTATTATACCTGAGAAATTACAGGCAATGTAGATAGAATACGATTGTTACAATATGATATTATGATTTGAGTAAATGAAAAATCAAACTCTCCTAAATAGTCTATACTCAACATCATTTCACATGTAGAGTGGTCCATAGCTTTGTATTCAATCTCAACAATAGATTTGACTCTAATAATTTAGGGCTTACTCTTCCAATAGGTTTTTTTTAACAAAATGAAATATATCAACGTTAAATTTTTATCTTCGACTGAGTGTGGAGTTTAACTTCTCTTAATTCTTTTGATCTTATAATATTTGGTAAATTTTTACTTTGATATTTTAACATTGGTGCTTGCCGATTTTTTTATACTTTGTACAATTAATCATTCTTACTCATTTCCACATGCTTTCTATAAAAGTAGAATACATCTATTGTTAGAAGGCATGACTCTTCATCTCCTTCATTTAGCTAAAAGTAGTGGTACAAGTTGAAGAAGTGGTTGGAGGAGTGATTGTGGATTAATTGTTATTGTGAATGGTGTCATGTTAAGGGCTTTTTATAATGAGTGGCACAGAAGGCTACATGTGATAGTTGGAGTCCTTGAGAGGAAATTGCCGACTAGCACAAGAGTTAATGATTGAGATGCTTTTAGATTGAAGGCAATATGCTTTCCTCTATCTTCAAAGAGCATAGTTGATTTAGAAATTATGTTCAAATTTGAAGAGGAAATGAGAGAGAAGGGGACACATTCCAATGAGATAAAAATGAAAAAAATTGAGGATAAATATTTGTATCCTTTTTCATAATCCTTAGACTAGTGGACATTGATCTCTATTTTTAGCCATGGACGTTGATGGAGCTCACTAAATCACGTAAACTCACTTGTGTTATTTTCTTGGTGTTATCCTTGTAATTATATTTTATTCTCTTTATTGTTATTTCTCACACTTTTCCATGGCAGCTAGTATTTGGAGCTCTACAAAAAATGCAGAAGCAATGCATAAGAAGATCGCAAAGGTTCTATAGCAAGAACTTCGAATATAGACAAATATATATTGAGGACATCTTCAAGTCAAAGCTAATGATAATGAGCCAAGAAAATGTTGCTTTTAACATATTGCACTAGAGGACCACATTTTCTTTATGATATCTTTCTTGGATGTTCGGGAAGCCTTGAGAGATGAACTTGGCATATCTAATGAGAAGGTTTTATAATCTCAAGGTGATTTGAGCCGTTTTTGCAGATTCATATTAATGATTTTGATATGATCACAAGCTGGATGAGGTTGGTTGGTATCAACTTCGATGATTAATTCCATTTATTTGTTTTCATCCCTATTAAAAAAGCAGAAAGCTAGGCTGGTATTGTGACATCTCTTAGTAGTTAGTGTGGATCTATTAAGTTGAAGCTTAATGATGTTCTCGACATGATCTTAAGTGAAAACATCAAGTGACGAGAATTATATAAAGGTTCTTGGTATTTTGAATGTTAAGATTTAAGGAAGAAGTGTTTGAAGAAGCAACCAAGGAGGTAGATCTAAGTCTCAAAAGAGGAATTAATCAAAAAGTCATGATGGTGTATGCTAGCAATGTGGCAAGCATGGCCATATGAAAGAGACTTTTCATGGATGAAAGTTGGATAAAGTTTAAATCATATGGATGCATCTTTGAATGCTACAAATGTAGAAATTTATGTTGCACTGGTACTTAGTGCGAATCGTTCCATCGAGTTTTGGATCCTGGATTCTAGTGCACCTTTTTGCTTAACTCCGCATAATTTTTATATCAAAGTATTCCACATGAGAGTACATGATTTTTAATCTTTGTGATGGTGAACTCTTAAATGTTGTTGGAATTACTAATCCTAAGCTTAGTAATATTGTTATATTGATGCTTCATTTTATGAGACACATTTTTGGAAGGAGGAGAAACCTGATTTTGATTAAAAAACTTCATGAAAGTTGTGTTTCAACATTCTCGAGTAATTACTTGGATGTTGTCTAAGGGTATTAAGGTTATAGCGCGTGAAATAACCACGTACATTCTATCTAATGTTGGAACAATTGGAGCAATTGTGAAAATCGATTATTGGTGATTTTGGAGGTGTAATTTTAGTTTCTTACAAGTGATAGCTTTCTAATGGCAAATGGAATTGCAAGTAGATGACATGTCAAGGCCAAAGAGCAGCAAGGTTATATGAGAAGGATGACAACAAATGATGAAAATTTTACCACTAAAGGACTATGACTATATTATTAGCCAAACGTCATTATGACGAAGTATGATATATTCACTACATAATGATTTCTCTTTTAAGATATTACATAAAAAATCAGCTTTTTAGTGGGAGATTATTGAGTGTGGAGTTTAATTTCTTACAATAACTTTGATCTTAATTTTTGGATAAAATTTGGTTTGAATTTTAATAATAGTGACTGTTAAAGTCATTCAATATTGTATTATTTCATTATCTTTCATATATATCATCAGATATCGCTCCATATAAGGATAATAAATTGATGGTTGCAAGGCATCATGCATTTTTTTTTCCTTCATTAAACCAGATGTTTAGGTAGTGCTTGGAGTAATGTTTGCAATTATCTTGGTTGGTCTCATACATAAGGGTTTCCCTATTGGTTTGTCAGTAATAATCATTCAAGTGTTCAACGCAACAGTTGGAAATTGGATGCCTTTGTTAGAGGAAATCAATGACTAATATAGGGCGTTGTGATCGATGAAGTGTTTTAACGTAGTAATCGACAGATCCATATTTGGTTAGCATAGCTAGTGGAAAAATCGTACTTTGGTTTGGAGAGGGAAGGATTAAAATTAGATTAAAAAAAAGAAAAAATAGCGATTCTCTGTTTTTGCTGTGAGTAAATTCAACTCCAACAAAAAAAAAATATTTATCTCGTACCTTTGGTGTCTCTCATTTGCAAATGTTATTTTGCCTAGTAGATCTCATTTATGATAACTCTCAATGAATTAAGTTATCATTGATTCGAACACCGAGTTTGAGTTTGGAGGTTTATGCTTGATAAAGATAATATGATCTTTGATGCTATTGTGAATCCCATTCTCATCTAGGAATTTGTAGAAAATTTCAAATCAAATATGTAAGCTCTGCCCAAGTCTATAAATAGCTTTTTTAAGTATGTATATAACTTCTTTCTTGAGCAACATACATAGAAGGTTGATCCATATAAATTATCATATTTTGGAGGTCACAAAAGAATGCATTACGCTTATCCATTTGCAGCATAGTTAATTCTTGATTGATTATCACACATTATAGAATTCTGATAGAGTTAAGTTTGGCAATTGACAGAAATGTTAAAATTATGTCCCATTGAACTATGTGAAGTCCTCTACAATCAATCTAGCTTTTTATCAACAAAATTTGGTCATCATGGTGAATTTTGGAAATGAACTCTCATACATATTGTTTAACTCTAGGAGGAGGAACAGCAAATTCTATTAATGAAATGGTTAAAGAACTCGTTGCTGCATTCATAAATTGTTTTAATAAAGCATTTGTGGCACTTCCTTATATGTCTTGTGAACAAAGGCAAATGATATGAATGATATAAATGTTCGAAGAAAAGAATATAAATGAAATATAAATGATCAAATTATATATATATATATATATATATATATATATTCCAAGGGTTAATTTTATTGAAATTGAAAAGATACATAGATTGTATGAGAGGACCTAAAAAA